GGACGCACTGATCAAAGAGGCTGCTTCAGCTCTTTTCAATTAAAGAAGTTAACAACCTTGGTGACATAGACTGGAAAGACTCAAGAGTTCTGCTGATACAATATTTTTTGAAGAACATATATTCTTTCTTCAAAGAAGAAAGGTGAATGTATCAAAGACAATTTTTTAACATGACAGGAGAAGAGTGAGTAAGATCTTTATGAACAGGAATTGAAAGCTGGGTTGCTAAATGCATATTTAGTCAGCTATATAAGCAGACCTGATTTATAAATATTCCAAGCATCCTCATCATCAAACACCATTTGGGTTTCAAGGATTTCCAGCATAGTTGAAAATAAGGCCACTAATTTTAGAGCCTAAATAGAATTCAAATAATCTAACACCAAGATCCTGTTTTGAAAATGTCAGAATCTTGCTCAGTTCTTTGGTTCCACTAGCTTTGCTGGGCAAAATTGTCTGTAAGTACAGATGAACTAGGTTAGACCAGGTGTCCATCTATACCACTGTCACTATTAATATTAAGACTTTCAGGAAAATCTAGGAGCGTGGTATATACAAAAGGACACTTTCCTCACCATACTCTTCTAGATCCCAGCAACAAGTGATGCACCTAAAAAGATTATTTATACATAGTACTAGGATAAGAAGATTTCCTTGTGCTAGCACTTAGTACAAAACTAGTACATTAATACCTTAATTCAAACAGAAAAAGCAGCAATCTTAACATTATTCAAACAATGTGTGCTGGAAGCAAAAGAGAATTTCAACTGAATGCAAAGGCTTACAGTTCTCAGGAGAGTAAAATAAATATCAGCACATTTGCTCTGAAGAACTAGAAAGCTGCTAAGCAGTTTCTAACACCACAGAAACACAAGGGATTGGCGTGACTGTGAAAAAACTGAAGTAGTTAAACACTGCACGAAAAGTCAAAATTCTAAGTGCAGGCTCAGGTGGCACCAAAAGTTAGAGTTTCTGTATTTGACAGAATATTTTTCCACAGGGAATGAAAAAGAACAAGGAATTCAGAGTCTCTTCAGGTTCTGAAAAAAAAAAGGAAACTGAGTTGTGAGAAGAGAGGTCTAAACACTAGGATTTCAAATAGGATCAACAAAACTGGACTGGGAGTGAGCTGATTTGAAAAGCCCAAACAACCAGCAAAAATAGAGAGCCTACTTTTCATCTGAAATATTTCATTCAGCACGTGAGTGAACTGGCTCATGTAAGAGCATCTGAAACTGTGAAATGCCTCTGATATTTAAATGCCAATGGGGTCAACAACTCCTCAGGAATTACCATAGCATCAACAGCATACAAACACAGTGCTACTTTTAATCTCCTGATTTTAACCACTTAGTTCTCTGAGTGCATGAATGATATGCACCTTTCAATGCAGTGCATGGTCAGGGATCTCTTCCATGAACAACTTAATTAGAATCTCTAGGGCCTTGTAGTCTGACACACTTCACTATTCTTTTTACTCCAATTCACTCTCTTCTGCTAGTGAAAGAACTTAAAATCAGATTACTAATTGCTGTAACATGTTCATGAGATTCTCAACGTTCTAGAGAAAGCATTGAGCCACAGGCTTTTAAGCTACTTAAATTTGGCCCACAATGCTTTATGAATTTAAGTTCTGTACAGTTCAACATAATATCACCAACAAAGATGTGTAGGACATATCATTCTTTTACTAGCATGAATTTAGGAGAAGATATATATAATCACTTAAATTAAAACAGTGTAAAACTAAAGTGTGCAAAACTAAACCATCCAGCTTCAAAGATCTATAGGAAGCAAGAGGAAATTATTGCAATTATTATATATTTCCATACAGAAGTCCCTAGCAAATTAAAAAAACACAGGAAAATATGAACAGAAAACACAAGTACAATGAATATGCTTTCAGCTATGGTTTTGCTCATAATGCATCTGTCAGACTTCAAGAGAAATTTGACCCACAGTAGCTGCCACTGAAATAGCTCAAAACACCTAATTTGATAATTCTGGCAAGAACTATCACAATTTCATACCAATCTAATGTGTTGGGGAAACATCTCTCCTAAATAAGAAGAAGCATTTTGAGATGTGAAAAGCACAGTAAGTATAATTAATGGAAGAACAAAGAAAAGTACCAAATGCTGTAAAGCCCTAATACTTCAGATAATGACTAAATTTCATGTCTGTTTCCTTCCCTGGTAGACACGAGTCCAATTAGAGTTCTCATAACAACAGCTTCTATGTGCTGGCATGCTGTATTATGTTTGTACTGCTACCGATAGACTAGAAGATAAAAAATAAATACTACAGCAACCTTTTTAACCCAAGGTAATTGCTAACTTTTTTTTTCTTTGTGTGGGTTTTGACATGGATTTGCACACAGCTTATTGTTAGCTTAGGCAATTTAGGCAATTATCATTGCATGCATAGGAATTAACCATTTAAGTAGCTTGCTATATACACAGAAGCTTCTATTGGAAAAATCACATGCAACAAGAACAAATGAGTTATTATGATTCACTTAATAATCTCCTGCCCAAATGTAATTTGACATTTAAACACCTTAAATTAGTTAAATTTTGAAAAATTGGAATGTGTTTGGTTTGATGCACTGTTAAATGACAGGCATCAGGAAGTATGCAAACCCCTTCCTTCATCCTTATTTCTAATTATGTAGATTGCTTGGAACTGACAGTGGTTAGATGAAGCATAGGGGTAATAAAAGCACAGGTTTTTCTCATCTCCTTCACAAAGAAAACATAATTATAGTGTTCTGAACATACAGTCTGGACTCAGATAATGACAGATGGTGTTGCAACAGAATTTCCTGCAAGTACCTTTTTCCTATAAATTCTGGGAAAGGTACAGGCAGGGAAGGCACTGAAAATGTCCCATAGAGCAATAGCATATCAACAACTTAATCATGAAGATTTCTCCTACTGTGTATAATTTTGGCCCAGACATCACTATGCTTTCTCTTTCATTTTGAACTATTCGTGTGTCTTGCCTTTTATGATTGCACAGATCCATGCTCTTATATCACAGCTAAGTCCAATGGCTGGATTCTTTCCCAGTTACAGCAAGGTCCTGTGCCAACCCTTTAGTACCATGCCTTTGAAGTCACAGAAGACTGCTGAGCAGCAGCAAATTCCATATGGCTTCAAGAATATGGCACACAGTACCACACCTCGCTTCAAATCAAGCCACCAGGCAAAGAACTGGAGAATCTGTGGTAGGTGCACAAATCAACTTGATGCCTTCATTGAGTGAAGAACTATCATTGAAAACTCAGTAAACAGCAAAAGGTATCTAGAAAGCAACGAGCCTTATATGACACAGAAGGGCGACTAAAGTTTTACATTTTCTAGATCGAAATTAAATTTAAAAAGCAAGTAAACATCTCCTAAAAACCATACAATATTGTTAATGTGCCAACTTAATTTTCTACTTTTAACCCAAAAGAGGATTGCAAGAGGAAAGCTGTAGGAAAAAAAGTCTACAGCTTGAAAGGGCCAGTCAAATCAGCTAAAGGTTATAGGACTGGTGAAAGTCGCCAGGAATTGGTGACTCAGACCATGAGACCTGCTTTGCAAAACCTGGCCTGCTGATGGGGTCCATCGGTCAGAGAAGAGTAAGAGCATCTGCAGTCCTAGGTTTGCCAGGTTGGTGAAGATAGCTTTAAACTAAAGTTGCTGGGGAAGGGCAACCTCAATCCACCCCACTCATATGATGCCCAGAGCCTGGAGAGAGGTCACAGGTCAGCACCAAGGGCACCTGAAGAATTTCAGCCAGTAAGTCAGTTTCCTCAAGGGCCCAGGTTAAAAGTCTCCATGCTAATACATGCAGCACAGGGAATAAACATGGCGTGTGAGGCCATGATCTTATTTGCATCAGTGAAGTTCCCAGTGACTGGAAAAAAGGAAACACAACCCCCATTTTTAGAAAGATACAGAAGGATGACCTGGGGAACTACAGGTCAGCCAGTCTCTACTCAAGGTCCAGCAAAAGCATGGAGCAGATCCTTCTGGAAACTATGCCAAGGCATATCAAAGATAAAGAGGTGACTGGTGAGAGCCAACATGGCTGCACTACTGACAAATCATGCCTGAGAACTTTGGTGGCTTTCTAAGATGGGGTTACAACAGTGGTGGACAAGGAAAAAGAAACTGATGTAATCTACTTGAATGAAAAGCATTGGACACTGTCCTGCACAACACCTTTGTCTCTAAAATGGGGATACATGGATTTTATGGAAGGACCACTCAGTGGATAAAGAATTGGTTGGATGGTTACACTCCAAAGGGTTGCAGAGAATGACTCATTGTTCAAGTGGAGAACAGTGATGAATGGTATCCTCAGAGGTCAGTAATGGGACTGGCACTGTTCAGTATCTTTTTAACAGACACAGACAGTGGGATCAAATGCACACAGCCAGTTTGCTGATGACACCAATCTGAGTGGTACAGTCAAATTGCTGGAGGGAACAGATGCCATTCAGAGGTCCCCAGATGGGCTTGAGAGCCTTCACAATTCCATGAAAACTTGATAATATAATCCTGACTACTTGCCTTTAGCTTCTGAAGATAAGTGTTTGATTAGAAACCCATACATTGGAAATGGTTACGAAGAAACTCTAGACTGGGATTTTAAAACACTACTATTCTGTCCAAATAGAAGGCTAAAATCAATGCCAAAAGAAAACAAGACATTAAGAATTTAGATCAACACAACCAACTAAAGAACTTCAGTTTGACAAATGTAAAAATTCACACCCATATTTCTAATAAGCTTATATTTCCCTTCCCTATACCCTGTTAAAACTAAGATTAAAAACAAAGGAGGCAAACAAACCTACTCACATGAAGTCAAAACAAGAGTTTTAAGTTTGGTTTAAGAAAAATAGCTCAGCAACTTTATATTGACAGCAACTAGACACTGTTAACTAGCTGGTAAGAAGGAGTCTAACAAAATACAGCATATTGAATACTAATAAGTTTCTTTACCTAGCCATTCCCAGGCTGGAAAAGTTGGAAGGAACAATCAAAACATCAAGCCTGGAAAAGGGGTGGGTACCCAGTGTGGCATAAGCAGCTGAGAGGCACTGAGGAATTAGCTGAAGCAAATATTCTTCACAGCTTTCCATAAGGCACCAGGGAGCAAAGACTCTATAAGGAATGACTGCTTGCAACCTGGCAGCAGGATTTTGGAAACGGCAGGGATATTCCACATGACCACAGATTTCTTCATGCCACCTGACAATACAAAACAAAACAAAACAAATACTTAATTGTGATATCAGAAATGTGCACAACTGACAATGCCAAGACAGTTATATTCTCTAGATATCAGAATGACAGAATCAATTTCCATAGAACCAGCTCACTTGCATTCTCACCCTCTTCACACATGTGTAGCACTTTGAAACACTCACTACTACATCTGAGTAGAACTCATAACTATAAAGAGAGAGACTAGTCACAGACTCTTATCTGTTTTTATAACAGATAAGCATCAAAAGAATAAGTGCTCAAAATATATGTAAAGACAACTAATAAGAACACAAAAATATTTACTCAGAATATTCCTATTCAAACTTGGCTATGAAAATAAAATTCTATGCATATTAACATAACATTAATACAAGTATTTTAGGTTCAAATGCAATGTAAGTCCAGGAGGGATTTTTTTTCTGTTTTTGTTGTTATTAAAATTCTCCAGAAGCTTCAAGTAAAAAACTATTGTTATTATTATTATGTTGTTGTTGTTGTTGTTAAAAACCCCAGTAGATGTCAATTTGGGCTCATCATGCTAGACATTCAATAGTACCACATAAAGCCAACATTACTTTATAGTACTTTTACAGGATATTTAGAGTTCTAGCTGGAAGAAAGGAGGGGTAAATCAAATCCTTCCTAAACACTGAGTCATATACATAATTACATATACCTTCACAATAAGTTATCTGCCCAAATAGATTCTTATCTAAACAGAAATCAGCTTCATGTTTTCACCTGCTAGCCTATGTTCTCTACAGTGCACAGCCTCTCCTTGGTTAGAAACTTCATTTTAAGTAATCTGGTTTTACTATGCCTTGACAGGCAAAGCACCCAGCGTTGCCCAAAGCACTTATGCTTGGAAGATCTGACACAGAAAACAAAATGATGACATGTAGAAAAGGATGAGAATTTGCTGAAGTATTAACACTTTAGCACCTTACATAAGTCTTTCAGCCAAAAAAGTGGACTCTATGTCCTTTCATTGACTACATATGTAAAGAAACCACATCCATCACTACAGAGTTTTTTAAGGGTGGTTTAATCTAGTATATTTTTGCTCTAAAACAATGTCACTTTGCATTTTATTATCAGAGTTGAGATTAGGTAGGAACATGAAAGCTAGCACCATATCTCTTATAAAGATTGCCAATTCCTTAAGGACCACAAGGAGATAAAAAGTTATAAACATCATAGTTCCAGTTAACATTTACTTTGACACAACTTCCTTAGGTCAAACTCACTGGCACCTGGATACAAATTACATTACAGGTAAAACTCATTGGGACCTGGACACAAATTACATTACACATTTCAACAGCTTCTTTCAGAATTCCTTTCTTTTCCTACTGCCCTAGAGTTTATCTCCACTATCTTATCTGAGACACATGCTCAACATTCTGTCAACACTGAGCCAGAATAACCTTTTGCACCAAAATCTATAAATAAATTAATAATTAATAATCAATCAATAAATAAATTCCTATTATGAAATGTGCTGTACTTTGGAGAGGAATACATCTACAGCTTATTTTTGCAGAGTAGTCATATTATAAACATAAAGTAGCAAAGAAATAAAGACAAAGCAATTTCTAGAAGCTCATTAAAACTGTAAATTATTTCAAAATTAGAGCATTTTCTTACCGATCCTACATGAAGTATGAAAATTTCTATTCTCAAGATTAACTAGCATTTTTTAACCAAAATCAGCCAAGCTGCAACCCATTAGAATAATTTAATTTTAAATTCCAACAAAAACATCCATATTAAGTCCTCAAGTTCCAAAGCCTCAGTAGTTCCACTGTCTTAATGCCAACAAAGTATTATTCAAAACAGCTGTCTAAAAGACAAGTATTTTTTCAGTGAAATTTCAAACTGAGTAACAGAAAAATGTTAAATACTTAAATAATAAAGTTAAATAAATTGATAAATAATATAGTTCAATATATAAAAACTTATAACCTAAATCACCTTCTACAATAAAATAACAATTCCTGTTGATGTGGGAAGAGTAGTGGACCTTGTTTGCCCGGACTTTTGCAAGCCATTGGCCACAGTTTCACACAGCCTTATCCTCAACAAACAGGCAACATACAAACTGGATAGGTGGTCTGCAAGATGGGTACAAAAACTGATGCACAGGCCACACTCAGAGATCAGAGAGTGGTGATCAGTGGTTTTCACTAAGGCTGGCAGCCTGTCACAAGCAGAGTTCCCCAAGAAATTGTGTTGGGCCCCACACTGTTTAACATCTTCACAAACATTCTGGATGATGGATTTGAAAGCACCATCACCAGGTTAGCTGTTGAGGTTGGACACATCAGAAGGGAGAGGCATCTCAGAGACCTGGACAGGCTGAAAGGGTGGGGCAGGCAGGAGCAGTGCAAGGTGCAGCAGAGACAAGGGCACAGTCCTGCACCTGGGGTGACCTCACCAAAGGGCCCAGCGCAGGCTGTGACCCGCGTGTCTGCGGAGCAGCCTTGCTGAAAGGGACACGGAAGTTCAGGGGACAATGTCCTGGCCGCGACTCTCTGGTGTGGCACTGCAGCCACGAAGGCAAACCAGAGCCTGGGCTGCAGCTGCGGGGGCACTGCCGGCAGAGAGGCGCGGGGCGGATCAGCGCGCTCCGGGCACAGCGCCTGCGGGAAGCACCGCCACTCCTTCTGGTCCTCACAGCTCAAGGAAGACACAAAAATGAACAAAGGGCTGCAGAACCTGCCCTGTGAGGAAAGACAGAAGGAGCTAGGCCTCTTCAGGGAAGAGGAAAGAGAACTTCATCACAGTGTTTCAGTACTTGAAGGGCATCTACAAAGGGCACAGAGTTGCTCTCCTCACAAGGAGCCACATAGCCAAGACAAGGGCCAATGGTGTTTGATATCTTTATCTAAGCTCCTTCCCATGAAAGAATGGACCACATGAACTATCAGGGTCCATTACAGCCTGGGTTGTTCTGTGATGGTATGATATCAATTTGAAAAGCTGAGAGTAATATATGAGGAAATCAAGTCCCATGTCTGAGACTTCTGCTAACTAAGGTGAATACATGTGAAAGCAAATGGTATTCTTTCAGAAACTTGTTTTCTATATTCAAATCTTATTTTCAGGTATATATTTTCCTGCTCATCTACCACTCTCTAATAACTCAAACTCAATGAGTTTTAACTAGACTGAGAGGAGGAACAGATGTATCCAAAATAATTATATCTCTAATAGTTTGGTCAGAACCAGCTAAGAATCATTGGTCCAACTCTACTTTATGGGACCACTGTACCAGATCTTTCATGTACCTGGTCATTACACATCACCCCAGACAAACCATTGCACAGGCCAACTCTAACTGGGCAATAAGACTGGAGCAAAACAAAAAAGTAAGTAGGCAATATCATAGTTGAAACCATTAGGTATCCAATATGGACTGAGTTAAGTATTTTAACAAACAAGACAGCATCTGGCACTGCTGCAGCGGGGTACTAAGGATACAGGATACAAATCTAGTGGACAGTGGAATTTACAAACCCTGTTGCTCACTAAGCAGCTTGCTTTCACATAAAAAGAACCACTCCCATGAAATAATGCCTTTGGAATTATTTTCCTGTCAAGATTTTTCTGTTCAGATTAAACAAGTTCTATTTTGATTCCTGGGCTAATATGAATCATTTTCACATTCCACAGAGTAAATGGAAATGCTACCCATATATCTCATTTTTCAATAATATTATAAACACCTACCTTAAATCAGTTTGTGATGATGGCAAGGAAAACTCAGTGTTTGTTCCAATAGCAGCTTTTTGTTTGAAGGACTGCTGTTTAACTTCCTGCCAGCACCCCACAGCAATAGTGAAGGTGGATGCTGGCATTGGCATAGACACATAGTAGTACCAGCTCAAGATACCTGTAAACAACAAATTTGTACAGACTCATGAGTCTTACAGCACACATTAGGTACTTGACATTTTCATGTACTTGAGATTTTGGGCCAAACCTCCCACCTTACATCCTGGTATTTTTGTGAAGGAAATAAAAGTAATTGCATCGAGACACATAAGAACAGTGGTATGTAACCACCATGGATTCTGTGTTCTTTTTACTTATACCTGCAACTTTGCTCTAACTGCTGATGTCTTTACCTGTAAATGAATCATCCATAAGTGGGATTGGGTTATTAATGCAACTTAACATGATTGTACTGTAACTACCCAAGAATTACATCAGACATGAAATCTAGCAACACCTTTAAATACATACACATACACAAAATATAACTTCAAATATAACTTTTTCAACCTTGTGTCTACTATCTTATAATTTTGTCCTGCTTCTACTATTATTTCACACAACCCAAAACCTCTCCTTTTTGTCCTGGGCAGTATCAAACTGATAGGCAAGTTCTAACATCAAATAACACTAATGTTTGTGAATTGGACCCAGCTATTTGAGGTATGTAATATGTCAACAAGGCAGTAAGAAATCAAAGCATAGACTCAGATGAGATATTACTAAGCAACTTGGTCATGTTACCCCATGAAAGTGCTAAAACAAGACAAGAATCTATTAGAAGGTAAAAATATGCTAGGTTTTATCATTATGGGAACACAATGTGGGGAGATAAGGAGTATGGCATAGAATTGCTGTATGAACAAACCCATTTTTATAAGGTGGATGTTTTAGAACAGCATACTTTTCATTAACACAAATGTTGCTTAGATTTTCTGTTTATCCCTTTAAAAAGGATATAGTCTAAGAATCATATCCATGTATTAATTTATCGTCATAATACAGCTACTACACCACACTAATAGATTAATTATCTTGAAAAGAGCCTAGCATGAGTTACAATCTGATGAATCATGTACAAATGACTGTAGCTAGGGCAACATGAAAACATACAAACTTCAGTTATTTTGAGAGAATCTTAGTACTTGTTCTTTTGCAAAAGTATTCTGACTAGGACTATGGAACACTACCAAAAGAGAAAAAACCCACAACTAAGTGGAGACCACAAGGCACAGAGGAAAGGAAATAGACAACTGCTGCTCAGCAGCTTGGTCATGTTACCCCATGAAAGTGCTAAAACAAGACAAGAATCTATTAGAAGGTAAAAATATGCTAGGTTTTATCATTATGGGAACACAATGTGGGGAGATAAGGAGTATGGCATAGAATTGCTGTATGAACAAACCCATTTTTATAAGGTGGATGTTTTAGAACAGCATACTTTTCATTAACACAAATGTTGCTTAGATTTTCTGTTTATCCCTTTAAAAAGGATATAGTCTAAGAATCATATCCATGTATTAATTTATCGTCATAATACAGCTACTACACCACACTAATAGATTAATTATCTTGAAAAGAGCCTAGCATGAGTTACAATCTGATGAATCATGTACAAATGACTGTAGCTAGGGCAACATGAAAACATACAAACTTCAGTTATTTTGAGAGAATCTTAGTACTTGTTCTTTTGCAAAAGTATTCTGACTAGGACTATGGAACACTACCAAAAGAGAAAAAACCCACAACTAAGTGGAGACCACAAGGCACAGAGGAAAGGAAATAGACAACTGCTGCAAAGCATCACTTGATTTCCTACCCTAATGACCTAAGAAGGTCAGGCTGTCTAAAGGAAGGACAAAGAAAAAAATCTTTAGTTTAGCCTCAACAAGTTTTCCATCTCCTATTTAGTATGACAAAACAATACCATTTGTGAAGTCTTCTGGGAGGCAGATAAAGTCTTTGTCTCTCATATGCACTAGAAACCACTTATATGCCTTCACCCCATTCCACTTTAGGCAACATCCATCAAAAACCTTTTGTCAGTATTGTCAGATGAACATATATTACTCCTGTAATTTTCGTAAGCTTCTGTCACTATGTAAGCAGAATGGATTTATTTGCTCCAAACGCATTAGGAATAAGCAGGATAACTTTGCCAAATTTCACTCTGCCTTTTGGTTTTTTATTATTTTTAACTTAACAAGGCTACAAATAAGCCAAGACAAGCAAATGTTACCTTGAGAGAAAAAGGTCGTCCACAGCAGCAACAATATATTATTTCAGAATGCCAAATTCCTGATGTACAGAGTTTCATTGATAGACACTGTGCTAAAGGCCCAAGCCTACACAGACTGTAGTTAGTAACAACTTTGCCATTAACTTACACACATACAGGACAAGGTTCAGAGGTTCTACACTTAGTACTGCATCTAAATGCTATAAAGCATTACTAAATGTTCCATGTAGTTATGTTAATTGTAAAAACATAAGAATTAACATCAGAGAAAACTGTAATTGAAAAACTGTCACGTTTTCAACTATGTTCTGAAAAAAGCATGGAAGTCAAAAAGTAGTCACAGAAAACTGTTCCAAATGACACAAGATATAAAGGAGAAGGCTCTCACAACTGCGCAATTGTCTAAAAGGAAAGGGTGTTGGCCTATACTAGGTAGAGATCAGAGAGGGTTACAGTGAGAAACAAGTTTAGTAAGACAGGCTAGAACAAGCAAGAGGTTTTTTTTCTAAAAAACACTCCACAAACAGCTTGAACAAAATGTCTAAATGTCATGGCAATCAGATTAGCAGTCCAGAGAGAAGAACAGCATGTACTGCATGCAAAAATCTATACAAATTAGCAAGGAACAGAATATTTACAGCTGACCTGATGCAAAAACAGTGAAGGTACCAAAGCCCCTTTTACTTTGCAAGGATTTTAGAAATCATGTGAACAATGGATCCTCTCAGAGAAAGATCCAAATTTTATAATGTCTCTGCATATCTACCCAGGGCTCAGTCCAATTCCTGCAGTGCTTTTTGATGCCTTCTGCACTCATATTCAAGAATTATGTAGAATACCTATATATTTATCCTACAGTTGTTGACTGAAATCACATGCATGGCCATGATAAGCGAGTTCTCCCTACAGAACCATAGAATCGTTCAAGCTGGAAAACAGTGCATTTGCTGATCAGTGACTGAAAAGGTCTTTTTGCTGGCAGAAGTTCTCTCTGGAGAGAACCATGAAGCACTGTCTCAAAGACAGCTTAACTAACTCACTGACCTTGTGTCTTCTCTCACTACTGGTAAGATTGCCTCCCAGCCTGACCTCTCCCATAACTTCACTTCCTTCCTTACACTGTCTTCACGTCAGTGGGATTTGTTTTGTTTTCCTTCATATCCTGTGATCTATCCCAGCACACAGATTGGGATCACAAGCTTCACTCAACTCCTTTTTGCTGCTCTCTCCATCCTCTGGCTGCATTGTGCTTTTCAATGTCAGCCTTGGATACAGCTCCATCTCTAGGACAACAGAAAACAGTGCAGCTGAAACGTGGCTTTCTATACCAAACACAGCATTTTGTACCATAAAACCATCTTCAGATTAAGTGAGTACACATTAGAAAAAACAAGTGTTTGGGCTGGGATTAGTCCATGGGAAAACAGAAACAGATCACCCCAGTACTTGTAAGGTAATTTTAAAACAACTTGATTCCTACGCATAATAATTTTAGGAAATCATAATATTTTCAAAACATTTTATTATTTTCCCTACCTGTAATTCTGAAAAAAATTCTTTTCTCAGTTCTGCAAAGCAAATTTGTTGTGTCATAACTCCACTAATCATGCACCAACAGTCAGCTATTCTATGAGTTAAAAGTGAAAAACTTTCCATGCAAATGTTTAACAAGAGTAGGAAATTTTAATCTATTTATAATTGTGCAAAAGAACAATGTAAAGATAGTTTATTTCTCCTACTTGAAATAATAATGATGAATGATGTAATTACTTCCTAGAATTTTTAAAGCATTCAGCTATCTTTGAAATCACTAAAATTTTTTGAGTCTTGTAGAGTTCATTATAACTGAAAAAATGCCAAAGTTCTATCTGTTAATGCCAGATGCAAGTACATTATGAACATTTTTACTTACCAGTATATTTTTTGTCAAATAGTGTGCACTAACACAAACACCACAAAATACAGCTGATGTTTACTATTTACTAAAACCCACAAAGTTCAACTACCTCTATGGAAAAGGAGAAATAGCCCCACACAGCAACAGGTATTCAGGATAAGAGCTAGTGCTAATATATAAAGATGCAGCTAAATAAGTAGTTATGTAAAAACTACTCTCTGGCTGGAGCCACCAGGATTAAGAATGCTCCAGCTTTCAGAAACTTGTGGGGACTTTTTTATCTCATCTGAAAACCAGAACTCCCCTCAGAGCTCTCTGACATTCATGCCAGAGCATTAGCTCAGCACTGACTCAGAGGGATGAGTAGCGTGTGACAAGCTCTCAACTACCATGCTGTAGACCCTGATACATACTGGAGATCAGCCGACACAAGGACTGCACTCTTTTGTTTTGCCTTGTGGAAAGTGAGGAGCACAAGCAAAGGCAACTGCTGCTGATAACTACATCGCAGGAGCAGTGGCTCTTCTAGCACTCTATTTTTTCTCAGTACCAGTGTACTCCTCACTTACACTGTGGTGTCAAAACAAGATCAGGGATTACACAGTAGTAGAGTAACCACACAAAAAGCGAGCCAGTCTGTTTCACACTTAATAGCTAAATATCTACTTCTTGAATATGAATAGAACAAATAGAAGATGTTTGTGGCTAAATGTATTTGCAGCTTCTATATGTTATAGTAACATGGTGAAGGAAATTAAAACTGACAAATGTAGGAAAAAAAAAATCTAATGTTTAAATGGCTCACATTACACATACATGTAATGCTCCCTCCCCAATCAAGCTTTCTCCCAAAGGGCATTATTAATTGCATTTTTCTGATCAACTTCTCTAAGTAGTCCATAAAGAATGTAAGGTATTTTAAGCACTTTTGGTCATACTCAAATAGTTACCATCTCTATTTGTGTAAATATTCTATCACTATTTTCAAATAAACGTGGGCTCTCTCTATTTCAAATGATAATCAACCACAGTTTTGTAGGAGGCAGAATGCAACAATGGCACATATGGGAGGAAACAGACTCTTGCCAAAACCTGCAAATACAAGTAGTAAATAAGGAATCTGCATATAAGAGTACACCTAGCCCAGCTGTGGATTACTGCATCTGTACATGTAGAGATGTATGTCTGTGAAGCAGAATGCAGATCTCTAAAAGCTTGAAGGAATCAACTTTGCTTGTTGTTCTCTTACTGTCTGCCTGCACACTGGTTTTAAATATGACTCTAAAAGGAAAAGAAAAATTCAGCTAACTTGTAATTCTTTTCAAAATAAATTTATTCACAACTACTTACCAAAATGCTAATTCTTTCCAATAAATTGCATTTTTTTAAAATATATTTTATTATTCTGCCAGTTATGTTGATAGTATAAATATGCAGCACAGTAATAGCATACTGTATATAAACAACTTGGCAAACTCATTTAAATTGAAGCTACCCTGGAAGGCTTTCTGTTGTTTAAAGACCAAATTTTAAACTGGATACGTTTCATATACCTTCCAGAACTGCCAAAAATTTATCCAAGGCTTCCAATTAGCACTTAAATCTTGGGTTTACTTGGATTTTAAAACATTCCACTCCTTTCCCTTTTTGCCTCTGTATTAGTTTTGTAAAATTTTACAATCCCAAACAGCTTGCTGATTTTTCATTTTCAGCTGTATGTAAGCAAGAAAACTATGATCTCTCATTAAACCAGTTAAACACTGATGGAAAAGCTGTTATCCTACTCAAAGTCAAGAGTATCCTTGCTTTCTTGATGCTGAGACAGGAAAGTATTCTCCAAAGGAACTGAGAAGCTCATCATGGCAGTTTTCCATATTTCAGCAGCAGAGACAAGGCTTGAAAGAGGCCCCATATATGGCCAAATATAACCAGACAATTCCATGAAAATGGATTAACTGATGCTTCTCAAATCAAGAGACTTTCTCTTTTTTTTTTTAAAACATTCCACTCCTTTCCCTTTTTGCCTCTGTATTAGTTTTGTAAAATTTTACAATCCCAAACAGCTTGCTGATTTTTCATTTTCAGCTGTATGTAAGCAAGAAAACTATGATCTCTCATTAAACCAGTTAAACACTGATGGAAAAGCTGTTATCCTACTCAAAGTCAAGAGTATCCTTGCTTTCTTGATGCTGAGACAGGAAAGTATTATTCTCCAAGGGAACTGAGAAGTTCATCATGGCAGTTTTCCATATTTCAGCAGCAGAGACAAGGCTTGAAAGAGGCCCCATATATGGCCAAATATAACCAGACAATTCCATGAAAATGGATTAACTGATGCTTCTCAAATCAAGAGACTTTCTCTTTTTTTTTTCCACTCAAGAATAAACCTGCCTCTTTTTAAAGGGGAATGGAAGATATTTTTCCCCGGAAAAGCTTAATTCTAACTTTATCTTACATGCTATGTCTCATCAGAACTACTCACACTAGAAAATACTTACCCAGTTTGACACATTATATCAAAACTCATCAGAATAAGACCCACTTCATTATATGTAGAATTTACACAAGCCTTAAAAACTTCCTCCTCTGTGCAGAAAGAAGTTTAGATAATAAAGTATAACCAATACAGAAGAATTATTTTTTGCTTACTGTTGAAAAAGATGCAAAAAACCACCATGGAGATCAGATTTTTGGGGCACTGACCTGATATTCCATGTATTCCAGGCAACACATATGGCACTATGGCTGCTTCTAATCACATGCTGAACTACACTCAGACTGGAGAACTAAAACTGAAAGACAGTTATCTACCAAGGCCTGAAGTTGTTGAGAGCCTGCTAAGGTTTGAATCTACAAAACTCGAGTACACTATGATTAAAATAAAGCAAATTTATGAAAAATTAAATCTAGGTTTGGAAACACAGAGGGAGGAAAAAAGCAACACTGTGAAACACAGAAATGTAGATACTTTGAGTACTTATGAAGTATCCTGAGGCCTTGAGCAGGCAACTTTTCCACAGAGATTGACATGGAGATAACAGACGGCCATGGAATTGTTATAAAAGTTAGGAACTTCATTCTTTCACAAATCACTTATTTACCAAGCTCTATTTCTAATTATAAAAGTATGGAAAATAATTTGCCTTGAAAAATGTATTTCACCTTCTCGAAGCTGGACTGGTTCGGCTGAGTTTTCACCACTCATTAACACAACAAAGCCTGCAGCTGTTCGAACTGAGGCTTGCCATGTTGACAAGGCAATTGGTGGCTCTTGGCATGGAAAGAGGGCTCTGTTGTTTATTGGTGATCCCATTGTGTAAACACATGGCCTAGATGGAAGGAAAAGAGATTGACGTTGGAATTACAATAAGAAAGATTAAATTAAGTTCTACATAAAAAATTCAAAGATGCTGTGGTGGTTTCCTTCTTTAACTTCAGCACTGCAGGTTCCAAACCTGTATGACATGAACTAATCAAAGTAAAATCTAAGTCATTTAAGGCAAGAAAAGCAAGATTACTACAATACCTTTAAACTAGAAAAGACTAACTTCAGTCTTTTCCCTCTCCTATTTTTGCATGAGTCTTCCAGCCCCATACAATAGCTTCCAGTTGTACCCATAAGGTCAAAGAAGGCTTCTGAGTATCTTCTGACAATGCCATTGCAGGGCTTCACCAACACCTGTGACACCTCCCTGCTATCATTCCAGTAGTGCTTTCACTATCATGAATCCAGTCTCCTGGATTAGCAATCTGGAGGCTCAAGCAAAATCAGCAGTAGATCTAGTTTTGAGTCTTCCTTAGTCCAAGCCTCAATAAATCCTGGCATTTTTATATTTAATCTTAAAAGTAGTACACCCTAGCTCACCTGTCTTTGGGAATTTCAGCTACATGGCATATAATAAGAACAATTACTTTCTAACCTGTTAGCTTCAGCCTCCTTCTTGCTTCCTACTTAGCAATCTTCCTTGTAGTACTGCCCTTTTTGCAGTTACTCTAAATCTCTCCCCAGCTGAACCTCCCAGTCTACTACCCCTTTCCAATTTCAGCTGCAATATTTCATGACAGTAAATTTCTTATTAGCCATTTACCTACAGCTGGGAAGGTAACAAGGCCTTTCATTGGCTCCTTCTAACTTGCTGTTGCTGGTGGATGGACTTAATGATTCTTGGTTTACTTATTTTGTTCCATTTTGCAGTATTATTTAAATTCCTATTACGTGCATAACAACACCACTTAAGGGAAAAAAAAGCTAATTTTTCAATTATAAATTATATTAAAACCCACAATCAATAGGTTTCTCCAGTAAAAGAAAGAAAATCCTGAAATCATCATTTCACTACACTGAACTTTTAAAACCTACAATATTTAAAGCTAAATATTATGTGAATGCTTGAGGCTAAAAATATTCTGATCAGTATCTTTCATCACTTGAATTGAAAAATTATCACAACGCTTCAGAAAGTAGGAGAGAAATTGTTAGGGCAAAACTGATTTTGTAATGGCTAAGATCTTAGCATTTTATTTACTCCCCTCCAAACTGCTTTTCCTTTCAAATTATTCCTTCTCTAAAGCCAGCTTCAAACTATACAAAGAGAAAGAACTTGGAAATACTGAAAGTCACAGATTAAATATATTCTGAAGATATTTTTGCTCTCTTGTCATTGCTATCTGTGCTACTGGCACATCCAGAGCTGTCTTAGCACTTTTAAATTATTGTGGCTTAACTAATGCAGGCCAGTTGATCTTCCAGCAAAACAGAGATGAAAGCTGCAGTTTAAGTAGGCCTTATTGTTAATGCACACAGGCAGGAAAAGAAAACAGTCTAACTTCCCCCATCATGTACCAGAGTAAATAGAGTAGGACCTAGACATTGAGTGAAGTCCAGGTAACTGCAGTGGAGAGAAAGCCAAGTGGTTATTTCTTAAACACTAAAACATAATGTACAGCTACATGTAATAGACCACTAATCTGCATGGATTTTTAATTTACTTAGTTAAAATTAAACTCCTAAAACTGAATCTGTAACCCATCTGATATACATAGAATAATTGGCTTTCCTCCCATAAAAACAAAGAGTGCATGGCAGTGAGTTCGCAGGAAACAAGAACCTGTTTTTTCACCTTCCAGGAAGACCTGCTTCCCCCTAGTAATGTTAGTCAAGAGCTACTGGGATTATTATTTACCCTAAAACACATAAGTGATGGGAAGGCATGGAGAGGAAAAAGGAAAGGTGGAATTAATGACTGCTGCTACACACATTTTCCTAATGATTTGCCATGGACTGTGAAGGCTGTTTTGCCAGGTGCCATTGGTGCAATCCACTCTTAGGAGCAGTATAGGTGATCTTCATATTCTGTACAGGGAAATGACACAATGACAGAGAAAACTGGCTAGCAGAACAGTGCTAAACTAAATCTTATAATGCTGTGTCAAATACAATATAAACATTACAAAGAATAGATGCTACCAAGAACATTTATGTCACCTGCTCTCAGAGAGCACCTTTACCTACAGACCATAAGGTATTTTACAGATAATGTCAACACAATTTTGCAGATGGGGAAAATGAAACTCAGTGAACAGATATGCTAAGTGCTAGCACTCAAGCTGCTCCTACAGGCTTAGTTCCAAGCCTCCTAGTCCAGTGGCTTTTTTTCCCCTGAGACATTTTAATGCTAAAATATACACACAGAGGAAGGTCACAAGTCTCTACCATAAAAGCCCAAGTAGAAAGTGAGTTAGATAAGTGGAGAAAGACTGGTCAGGTACATAATCTGTTGTTCAGAAGTAGGACTTCTTTCCACTCCTCCCCCATTTTAATACAATTTTTACCAGGCATATTTATTAACTTCATTATTTTCCTAAATATACCCAATTATGTCAGTCTGCTAAAAAAGCAGTAATGAAATAGACAAGTTCTAAATTTTTAAAGCAAACTATAAGAAGAACAATTATGTAAGCCTTTAATTAGATATTTGTTGTACTTCTTTTACAGTGGTAATTTCTTTTTAAAGCATTGGTAATTGTGCAATGTTACTTTAGGATATCCACTGCAGCTGACAACTGTCTTTGTTGGGGTCAGGCAGTACAATTTCAGCACATAAGAGGACCAGAAAGATAATTCTTATTCTGGTATCAATCAGTTTCTTCATTTGACCCAGGGAAAAAAACCAGCCAATCTAAGCACATGACAGAGTAGCAAAGAAAAATAATTAGGTTTAGACTGCGTTTGTCAATTGATACACGTATTTGACCTTTTTTAATAATTTATCTCTACCTCTCCTAGCAAGAAACTTCTCAGTTCCTTTCCTCTTTCTACTACCTTTCCTCTTTCTATCCCTTCCACCCCAGTTAACTTTTCATCACCTTGTAATACTCAAATCATCTACTTATGTAATATTTTTGCCAACCATAACCTTTGCCATGATAGGTTTCAAGTATTAAGGAAATTTCATGCAGCAAAAGGTAAGCAGAAAACTCAGAATGTTTATTGAGTTATTTGTAACACTGGAAGAACAAGCATCCACAAAACAATCACAAAACACAGGAGTGACATTTCTGGTCACTCCTCTGGACAACTTTATGACAAGTAAACAAAAAATAAAAATAAACAAAAAAATTAGGCAAACCCTGAGTACAAAACGAGTGGATTTGATATTCCTGGAAATGTAGAAGGCAAGAAACAAATATTTGTAAAAAAATTTAAATTATGTCCTCTGAATCAGTTGTCCTAACTAAAAAGAAGACCATGAGAAAAATGGGTAAATACTCCCAAGCAAACAGGCATCCAGACTACTGGAGAATTCAAGTACTAGTTGTGGTAATGTCTGGTTTTGTCCCAAGAGGAGACCAAAGACTGTCTGTTGTTCAGTAATCTCTCTGATGAAGATTTGATTAGTGCAATTGTAACTCATCAGTAGGCCACATATCTTTACAACTCAACAAAATCAGTTCAAACCAGCTCTTGGGAGATCTCCCTCTCCCACGTAAGCTTACCCACTATAATAATGAATTAACACAATCTTCAAGTTAATAACAAATGTTCAGTTCATAATCTGTTCTCTAAACAGAAACCTGCAGACCTTGAGATGCCTGCCATAAAACACTTGAAACATATTCTAAGGCTCACCCATGTCAACCTGCTTTGCCTAATGTCTGAGGTTTTGTCAAGGAAAATGCCCAGCTCAAAAACTCTACCCCTTTCTGATATTTGAAAAATCACATTCCCTATTTCCGCAATGCGAAATTATGTTCCTTTCTCTAGATTACATTGTTGAAGCAGCAGGACTTTCTGGCATTGAAATCACGAGAACTTTTTACTCTGCCCTATCAAGTGCAAGGTTCCAGTGACTGTCATCAGATTCCACTAAACCAGGTATTCTTGTTTATGTTTTACTGTTGAAAAAGACACCAGTCAGTAATACCCATGTTTCTCACTGCCTTCCTTTAAGTTAGGACAACTAATTCAGAGGATACAATTTGTATTTTATACAAATAATGGCTTGCTGCCTTCCACATTTCAGGTATATCAAATCCATTTACTTTGTACTCAGGGTTTGCCTAATTTTTATTTGGTTTGGATTTTTTTTTTGGTTTTTTTTTTTTTTTTGGTTTTTTGGGGTTTTTTTGGGGGTTTTTTTTTTTTTTTTTTGTTTGGGGTTTGCAGCAGGACTTTCTGGCATTGAAATCACGAGAACTTTTTACTCTGCCCTATCAAGTGCAAGGTTCCAGTGACTGTCATCAGATTCCACTAAACCAGGTATTCTTGTTTATGTTTTACTGTTGAAAAAGACACCAGTCAGTAATACCCATGTTTCTCACTGCCTTCCTTTAAGTTAGGACAACTAATTCAGAGGATACAATTTGTATTTTATACAAATATTGGCTTGCTGCCTTCCACATTTCAGGTATATCAAATCCATTTACTTTGTACTCAGGGTTTGCCTAATTTTTATTTGGTTTTGGTTTGGATTTTTTTTTTGGGGGGGGTTTTTTTGGTGGTTTTTTGTTTGTTTGTTTGTATGGGGTTTTTTGTTTGTTTGTGCTTTTTGGGGGGTTTTTTGTTATTTATTTTTCTTTGTTTTATTTTTCATTTTATTAATATAATTTGTCAGTCTTTAGAAGTCATTGCATATCACATGAATAATCCAACAAACTTCAAAATACTTAATTAATTTGTCAAATATTTATATTCCCATGTTCCCACTACTGGGAATAAAATTAAACAAAATAACAGTAGAGATTCCCCACAATTGAGGAGAGCCTCTTAGGATGTGATCCGTGGCCTACCACGGTTCTGGACTATCTTACTCTTATCAAACCTTGCCTATGAAGAAAACCAAATTCTTTATTCCCTTTCTACATTTCCAGCTTCCAAGAGCACAGAACAATGCTAACTCATACCACTGAAAAACCAAACATCTATTTTCATGACATATTTTATAATTTGTAGAAAATAACTCTACCTTCCAAACTAACCTCATCAGTATTTTCCAAACACATCTTATTCCTTTCTATTCTCTTCCCCCCTCTACTTACTTTTAATTAGATTAGTTCCCTAACATGCCTTATGACCCAGCTGTACATACACCTGTGTCATCACACCAGTGATGGAAGGAACCAGCATCCAAGTTTAGAGAGGTCGAAAGTGTCCCTTTCATCAAGTGTATTTTGGTAGGCATCCTGGTCATATCTTTATACTTTCCCTCCTTCCCTCCTTCCATTAGCACAAGTCAGCTCTGTCATTGCCTTTTTTGTTTGGCCCAAAAAACTTGGACAGGGAAGTGCTGAAATTCCATGTGTTCAGTTCCTCTACTATAAACAGAAGTGTGTCCTGCTGTGATAACATGTTTGTACTTACGTATCTGATCTTGCCTAAACTCATCCCACAAAGCTTTGTTTCAGCTGGGGCTTTTTTGTACATCATTCTTTAAAACAAATAAAATGGAGCTCTTGATAAAATTGTGTATAGGCTAGATTTCAAAACATTGTACTAGTGTTAAATCACAGGAAACATTGGAAGTGGTTACACAATGTGTGCACTTTGTTATTTACTTTTCTCAGGGTTGGAACCACAGTATAGACTCCTTTGGCAAACAATTTGACATCTGAAAAAAAAAACAGCACTGGATGCATAATTTGGAACAATCTGAAGAATCCTCCTATGGCAATATGAGATTTACCACTATGTTTATGGGCTCATCACATATAGAATTTGATTTTAAAAAGATACCAAGAAATATTCTAATGACTATGCTATGAAAACTTATTTTCTGACAGGCATTAGGTTTTGGAATACCCTACACAGGCCTGATAATAAATCAGATTGTACTACTTTATAACATCAAACTCCTGGATCCATGTCAAGCCTGCTTTTTCTGCTCCATTACTGATCCATAAAATTCCATCCATTAGTGTACAACTGCCATGAAATGTCACTAAAGTAAAAACAGTGCTTTGCAGTGAAAGGCTTATAAAGAGTCAAAACTGTTCATGATTTAGATACTTAAAAGAAACTTTTAAATGCTCAAACCACAGAGAGGTCCTATAGAGTCCTATACCAGCTGAGTGTTGCTAACATTAGTTATTTGGGCAGGTGGACATAGACATGTGATCATGGGCAATTGCTCTACCTTCACATGAAGTCAAAATTCAGAATTTTCAGATATAAGGGTAGTATATCAAGTTACATTTCCTAAATTCATACCAAAAATAACTCCTCAAGGAGTGAGGAAAGGAAGGGAAAGAAATAATGAACATGACTGAGACATTTCGGGACTTGATGGTGCTTACAGATTAGTAGCAGAATTCCCTAACCACCACATATGCAATCAAAAGGCCTCATTTTCCTCACCAACACAGATGCTAGTGAAAAGACTTATTTTATATGAATATAACTGAAATAAAAGGTGACCATTTATCTCTTGACTGGGAAAGAAAAGCAATATTTAATCAGGTCACATTTGTTCCTTATCTTCCAACTTTGTTCCTGCTTTTTAGACATCAGAAAGAAATAACAGCCATTAAAATCCACCTTTCAACATTCCAATAAAACAATTACAGTTGTAAAAGTCAAGAGTGCATTGTAGTTTCCCTTCTATAAAAGGCTTATATTGAAGATTTCAGTACAATACCATGTCCTTTTCGCTAACGCTAAATATAATGCCAATTCTTCTTTCAGTTTGCAGTTCATTTGCCATCATCAATGTTCTTAACATTATAGGTGAAGAAGATTTTGAAAGCTGATTATGAGAGACTAAACAGGAAAAGACTGTATTTCTAAGTCGATTACAATATTGATAAAAGACTAATTGTGAAGTAATTCTATTAAATGTTATGTATATTGAACTTTATGCTGTGTATGCCAGGAAGCAAAAAGAGCACAAAGTCACCTGTCATGCAGACCGTTTCTTTCCCTATATGACAAATAAAGGACTAATTGTGAAATAATTCTATTAAATGTATATTGAACTTTATGCTGTGTATGCCAGGAAGCAAAAAGAGCACAAAGTAACCTGTCATTCATACCTTTTCTTTCCCTAAATGACAATTCCCCATTCCCTGCACATTCTTATTGAAATACACACGAGTTATTTACTCCCACTCAAAAAGAGCAAACACAATCACTAAGATAGGCCTGTGATCTTCAAGTCTATTAGGGTTTCACGAGCAGAGAGATTGTCTGTTCTTCTACAGGACAGCAAATGGAATCAAACCAAGGATGAAATGAAAACTGTGGAACAGTGTACTCATCATCTTCATAGTTGCTCAGCAATTTTATGATTCTCCATTTTTGCACCTATTTAAGTTTACTGCATACAAAGCTTTCAGCAAACAGTTACATACCTGCCACTCTGATCTGTAGTCCATGTAACAGATCTTCCCTCTGGCTTGGTTTTGTACCATATTCTTATTGCATGAGGAAAGTCCGCTGGAGTCTGAATTCCTGATTTCCGTATCTCCAAGCTCCAGGTGCCAGTACTAAACAGAAGCTCCCCACAGCCAGGTGCCTGGCTACAGTGAGTAAAATAGTATAGCTGTTCCTTCCAGCGATCTGCAGGTAAAGTCACAAGTTCATGTACAATCCGAATCCTGAGATTTTCCAGCTCCTTTGAAACACCAGTTAGCTTGGCAGACCTTGTAAATTTTTCAATGCCTGACACAGCAGCAACATCTACCTCTTCAACCTTTAGCACAGATAAATCACAGCAATCCAATACCAGCAGAAAATCCTTGTTTCCACGATCCTCTATGTCACAGCAGTCCTTTGAACTAGAAATCCCAGAAGCCTGTTCATTGTTGCTATGGTTACTATTTTCATCAGAAGTAGCTTCCTCTTTACCACTGACAGCAAAATCATTACATTTCATTTTAACATTTAACATAGGAACGTGGCAGGGTTCAGATGCCCTCATTTTACAGGTTTCATCAAACTGTGACTGGCAGCATTCTTTGCCAGCACTGCTGGTTTTCCTGTACTGGCTCCCAGTCTCAAAGAACAAAACTATGCTGCCTTCAATAACTTTACTTTTAAAATCCACATCCAAGTCCAATACATAGTGCTTTACAAGCATGTAGCTAGTGTTTGCCATTAAAGGCAAATCATCCTTCATGGGGTCTAGCTGTGTCTCCATGTTCACCTATTGGGCAACAGTTTCACACAGCCTTGGACAATTCTGACATATGATGACTCCAGGAGAATATTCAGTCTCCAAGTGCTAAAAATAATTTTGAGTAATATTAAAATATTGAAATTGTAGTTTATCCACTTCTTGAACTCTAAAAAGAAAAAAAAAAAGAAAATAATCTCACAACCATTTCTGAAATGCACCGATGCTAAATCTATTTAAAGTCCAGCTGACTTTATTACAGTAGTACTGCTAAATGGTGATTGTATCTCCACACAGTGGCATCAGGCTAGAATGGCATCTGCTTGCTTCAGGATTTGTTGTCAAGGTCCAGTGGCTGTATTTTTCAGATAAGGACTCAAATACTTTCATTTGAATTGTTCTTTCAGAGAAGAACTCAAATGAAAGTATTTCTAGACAGCTTCTGTAAATCAATAGAAACAACCAAAAGTATCAAAAGATAGTGATATATTTCTGCTGTGATTTTAAATAACAAGTCTAAATCACCTCATAGATCTTAAATGTTTAGAGTAATAAATTCCTATATACAATGCTTGTCCACATTACAACCACTCTCATATCAGCACTTACAAGAAAATGAGCCAATTTACAAGGACTGCATTCCAAGTATTACTCTGAGATTGCTCATGAAGTGCTTTAAAATCTTATATACCTGAGGTATACAATTACATTTTTGTAGCTGCAAGTTTACAACACTCAGAATAGTGCCTTACAGAATACAAAGTCTTTTCACTGGACATAATATGTAAATACCTATTAAGGCACAAAAATACTAAAATGCACCAACATTTGTTGCAGCATAGGCAGAAGTTCATAATAAAGTTGAACTGACATGGATTCTCTGTTTTGCTATAACCATTGAGTGAAAGTCATGCACTTTTAGCCCACTTAAGTCCTTTCTATTTGCTTTCTAGATGAGGAATAGATATCAGAGGATGAAATACAGACAGTTCTCTCCCTGGCATTTCAGTGACACTCATTATTGTAGGCAGCCAGGCCTGCTTCTAAGTGCCTTAAGAGAACAGATACTCCATTGTGACATGCACAATCCATTTCACAGTTTTACACCTCATCATAGACTTCACTATCCAAAGCCAACTTTTATATAGCTCTGAAAGTGAGCACAGAGGAGAATCAGACTCCCCAAACCCTTGCTGTATCTGTTTTTGTAGTAATCCACGGCATGCTATCAAGCTACTATCATTACGTGAAAGGCTCAGGGCAAGAAAATGTCCATATATTTCCCTCAACTAGTTTCAAACAAAGCACAAAAATATAACATGTATCTCCCTACCTCAGTGGCTTTCTAGCTGTCAGAAACAGCTCTTTCAGGGCTGTCTTTGACAGCAAGCTGAGAAAAACTTTCCTTTGAATTTTTAACAATCTTTCAGTACTTCTGCAAACATACCGAGGCAACAAGCTTGCATCAGAAGGTTCTTTCAATGAAATAGTTCAGTAAATTCAGGCAACGTGAGCAATGTATCTATGATGTCTGTGTGTAATGCTGTAGACTGAACCTGACATTACCTTGATTTTTTTCTGACTACCAAAACCTCTTGACTGCTAGCAGGTCAAGTAATAGAGTAAAGAAACAGAGTGACTTGGTAGGGAAAAAAACAACACTTAACTAACACTCAAATTCTGTTTTGCACAAACATATTTTTAGTTTGAAAATATTTGTAATAGAATATTGACATATTTTATGAAACGTAAGTACTATCCTATGAATACAATTGTAGGGAGGAGAGGCCAGCCTTGGAATAAGGCAATTAGGGAAGATTACCTGCTATACTCCAGGTCCTGACTGGTTGTGTACAGCAGATGTAGGCAGCCTCTCCCTAGAGCGGCATGGAGAAAAGACAAGCAAAAAAATCTAAGCTGTCTTGTAAATACAACTATCCTCCATGCATTCCAAGGCATTACACGGAGCTAATTTTCTAAAAATATAAAAATATATTGGTTTTTGTATTCTGTAGAGATGATTTTTTTTGTTACTGAACTGAAACACTAAATGAAAAAATGAAGAATAAGAACAGATATATACAATGTTAAGTACAAGAATACCAAAATATACTCCCAGGAAACAGCATTCTCTGTCATTGTCATGAACAGCACTGCTAATTTTATGACATTCAAATACATGGATAAATGCTTGCGTCCCAGACAAAATGGGTATCTACTTCTTCTTTGGTCTCTGGTTGGCTTATCAAATATTGGACCTCAAGCACCTTGGGAAATTACCAGTTTTATTCAAGAAGAAAATACAGGAATGAACTGTTTATTTGGATGCTGAAATAGACAGTGGGCACTAAAATAGACGGCCTTTTATTAGGAAGGAAAAAGTAACAGATCAGGGCACTGAATGACCACGCACACAACCAATGAAATAACACAGGAATCATATTAAAGCAAACCTGAAATAAAGACAAGTGAAAAAAAATGCAAGCAAAAAAAAAAAGGTAAAGCAAGAATGCACTTCTGTAGCAATGAAATAACGCAGGAATCATATTAAAGCAAACCTGAAATAAAGACAAGTGAAAAAAAATGCAAGCAAAAAAAAAGGTAAAGCAAGAATGCACTTCAGCAAAAGAGAAGGACAAAAATTACAACAAAATGTAATATCAGAGCTAAAAGGTAATGAACTTTCTCACAAATTTTTTAGAAGGACCATTCTCAGAGCACGTAACTGAACAGGACAAAATTATTTACATGTACATATTTTGTTACATTTGTTTGAAGTCTAGGCGTGTGTATATTTGCTTTCAATCAGTAATGCTAGTTCAATGATGTTGTAAAACAACACACAGATCCTTTGTTTGAAATTTAGCATCTACGTATAAACTGTCCCTCATTGGTCTGACATGACTAAACCACGGAGATAATATACAGAGAAAGTGTGTGTGCACTCATAAAATAAAAAGGTTGTAATGACTAGGGACTGGTGAGGAGGAAAAAGGTAGCTGTGCAACCTTATCAATTATGTAAACCCCATTCTCTTCTTTGTATAGACTGTGATGTCTTTTCATAAATACATGATAATTTGGGGGGTTTAACTGAACAGCCTGTAAATAATGATTTTATTTACCATTTGATTCCAACTGCATTTGAATAAATATTAACTTCATGGTGTCTTTTCTTCAAACATGTCTTCCCAAAAATTGTAAATAAATCATAGTATTATTATCCCTCCAACATGATTACTACTGCTGGTAGTAAAATACTGGTGGTACTGCTGGTACTAAAATACAGCCTATCAAAATCCTAGGCAGAATCAACAGGAGCTGCAACGCAATACAAATCTTCAAGTCAAACCTAGGCAAACAAATGAAGGATTCTTTCCTACAAAGGAAGAATAATTATTTCCTACATTTTTTTTGACAATACAGACTGAGATGGAGTGCAAAAAACTTAACTCCCAAACTGTGCACAATCACATAACTAATTCAGTCTAGCATTTGTCATTCATTCTGTATTTTTTTCATTTTTCCTTCATAGGTTATGAGAAAAAATGCTAATCATGGAGTTGATATATTACAGGAAACATGTTACCTCACCTTCTGAAGCAAAACCCTTGCTGTACACCTTGTAAGCTCTCTGTACATATTTGAGCTTTGTGTATGCAAACAGTACATCTTTTACTACTGTTTCATAAATATGCTGTTCTGAGAAATATTCTTTGAATTTGGTACGATAAGTCGTTCACTATCTTACACATATATCAAGATATTGGCTTCACAGAAAAGACACATTTTTAGACATCTTTTTTTTCAAATACATCTCTTAATTGACATTGTCTTCTGTAATATTTTTTGCTATAATATACCCATAATATGAGTATCTCATTTTCATCTCTGTGCAATTAATGCATTTCACCTCCTTTGAGGTTCAGCTAGTGAACCTCAAAGGAGGTTCACTCACTGAACTCCAGGCATGGAAAAAAAGAAATTAGAAACTGTAATGCTGCTACAAAGTCCTGGTGCTCATGTCATAAACAGTGTTTCATGTCATATTTCTTTCACACAAAGAGATGTAAAATATTACTAGTATATTTCAAAGATAGACCTTAAATTCAATGGATCTTCCTTATTAAATGTACTTTTTAAATACATTTTCTAAGTAATAAAATTACAAGAAAAACTGATTATTTGGTTTTATGTTTTAATATTTTAGAAGACAGATGTTCACAAAAGAATAAGCAATAACAGCAGATGGTGGCCAACATTAGTAAAGTCAATCTTGATCAGCAGCACATAATAGAATTGCATAAAAGACACGAAGAATAGGCAACAGGAGAGATATGACCCTTTGGGGAATTATATTTGTATAACATTGTTTTCCACTCAATACAAAAAGCATCAGCCTGAATTAGAGACACAGGTCTCTGAAAGCAAATATGAGGGAAAAAAAAGTTTCCAGGCAACATAAAACACAGTTGCAAAGTAGACAAGACTAAGCTTCCTAAAAATGTCTAGGTGTGGGGAGGGAAGTTTATTTTTGATTGGCAATATACTGTAACTCATAGTCTCAGGATTTAAAGTGAAAAGCAAAAAGGAAATAAAGAGGGAAGAACTTCAAAATATAATTCTGTCCAGTGAAAGTTGAGGAAAAAATAATAACCCAGGGACAGCTGAATACACATTTCAATTGGTGAACCAATTGAAAGAGAAGGGGAGGAGGAGAACTACTATACAAAGGAGTTCTGAATTAGACACAGGTCTCTGAAAGCAAATATGAGAAAAAAAAAGTTTCCAGGCAACATAAAACACAGTTGCAAAGTAGACAAGACTAAGCTTCCTAAAAATGTCTAGGGGTGGGGAGGGAAGTTTATTTTTGATTGGCAATATACTGTAACTCATAGTCTCAGGATTTAAAGTGAAAAGCAAAAAGGAAATAAAGAGGGAAGAACTTCAAAATATAATTCTGTCCAGTGAAAGTTGAGGAAAAAATAATAACCCAGGGACAGCTGAATACACATTTCAATTGGTGAACCAATTGAAAGAGAAGGGGAGGAGGAGAACTACTATACAAAGGAGTCTAGTTGAACTTGTAATCAGCACATTAAAAACTAGAGTAATCAATTATGATATCTGATATTAATATTTCATTAATCCAAGAAGCTCTTATTTTAAATGCTGATAGCTAACTACTCCAGTCTAACTCCACTCTAACAGTAATAATCCGATAAGAAAATTAGAAAAGCCTCTGAACTTGCTGAAACGTCCATCAGAGGCACTACTAGGTGGAAGAAAGTGAAAGGCTTGCTTACAAACCTAAAAAAAACCCCAAACCTTGAAAAACAGAAGATGCATGGTCATTAGAGATGACTTCATTTTATAGTGTCAGGAGCTAGAAACACACTGTCAAGAATGAATTCACTATACTGAATTATCTACTCCCTTTCCAAGCATATGACTAATTTCACTGCACTCCTGCTACACCAGCTAGCGAGGGATTATCTTACACGTGACACTGTCATGGCTTACACAACTGTGAAAGGCAAGCAGAAAGCACAGCCGCCGAAAACAGTCCTGCATTTTGTCATGAAGGCATACACCAAACATGAAGCATACACAAAATACGTCTTGTTTCAGAGCACAACTGCACCTGTCATTTTTCATGCATTTCCAAAATCTGAGAAAGCAAAAATGAATGAAAAGATAGTAGTATAGTAGAGGATCAAGTCTCCAATGAATCCAAGCAGTTACATATCTGTAGCTGATATCTATCAAGCCCTGGAAAACTCCCAAGTTGGAGTTGTTGCAAATATTTGAATACATAAACCGGTTAATGCCTTACAAACCATACCACTATTATTTACTGTGCAAAGTCAGAGTCACACAAAGTAACACACAAATGCTGACACAAGTATCAGGCATCAATCCCTAAGACAGTGCCCATTTCCATCTCAGCTTTTCTGTTTTTCACACCTCACCCAAACTCATTCCCAGAAATAACAGTCCATTTAAGGAACTCCATAGAAATTTATGCAAATTTAATTTTCTAGCAAACTAAGGATGGTCAGAAGAACCCTACCAATTTATGCTAATCCTGTTTGAAGATCCTGCCAAAATCATCTGCTTTGATCAACAGTCAGCAGAGATAGCTATGTCCATGCACAGCCACTTGAGCACACAGCCTGCCACATGCACCTGAGCTGGTAATGGAAGCTAATATCCTGATCCACAAACAAGAATCTCCAAAGCACAGAGAACTTGATTGTGTTATGCACTCACAGTATTCTTCAAAAGGTGTAGAAGAATTTCAGTGAGACAGACTTTCCCTACATGCCACTGGCCAATATTCAGACACAGCACCAGCTTTTTATTCAAGCAAAATAAAGCCATGTTTGGACTCTCTTCACCTTCAGCCAAGCATGATTTTCTTCATCTGTACAAAAAAGCCAATTCAATTGCTTTCAACAAGCAGGTGTTAGAATTAAGGCTGTAATGCCCTCTACTTAACATTTAAAGAAACTTAAAAATGAGAAAGAAGTGCCTTTTGGATAAACATTCTCTTAAATAATCAGAAGAGGTTTGTAACTAATGCCCTTTAAACTGCTTTGAAGGCAGCTTCTTCCAAATCCAGGTTTATACATTTTCCACACAATATAAGACACTAAGATCTTACTAAGAACTCAGTTTTGACCACTAGCATCAACAATGATTTTACTCTTTAAATACAAACGAATATGTATACATTATTTTTGGTTGGTAATTACAAACTCTTGTTCCCCACACACATATAAGACAAATACCTAAGAGATCCTAAGCCTTTTTAGAGGCAAGAATGGGTTCTATAGATGAAAGTAAGGCTTAAACAAACTAACAGAAACACTATG